CCTTTTCAATTTATATGCAAAACAGATCATCCAGGCTGGACTTTTTTCTTTTTTTTTTTTTTTGGAAGCTGGACTTTATGAAGAGGAATGTGACACCAGGACTGGAGGAAGGCTCATCAACAACCTGTATTATGCAGATGATACAACCACGCTTGCTGAAACTGAAGAGGACATGAGGCATTTGCTATCAAAGGTCAAGGACTATAGTCTTCAATATGGATTAAAGCTCAACATCAAGAAAACAAACATTCTCACCACTGGGCCATGGCAGACAGAAGAGATTGAGATTATTAATAACTTCAGTTTGCTTGGTTCCACAATAAACACTCTTGGCAACAGCAGTCAGGAAGTCAAAAGATGAATTGCATTGGGAATGTCTGTTGTCAGGGACTTCTCTAGAGTACTAAAGAGCAACTATGTTAATCAAGAGACTAAGGTGTGCCTGATCCAGGCTATGGTCTTTGCAATTACTTGCTATGCATCCAAAAGCTGGTCAATAACTAAAGATGACAGAAGAAGGATTGATGCTTTTGAATTGCGGTGCTGGAGAAGAATGTTGAGCATACCGTGGACTGCCAGAACAAACAGGTCTGTCCTAGAGAGGGTGAAACCAGGCTGTACCCTGGAAGCAAGGATTTTGAGTCTCCGTCTCACTTATTGAGGGTACATGGTCAGGAGGGACTAATTCTTGGAAAGGAACATAATGCTTGGAAGAATGGGGGAAGAGAGCAGGAGAAAAAAGACCCTGGATGAGATGAATTGACTCAGTGACTGGAGAAAAGGTAATAGTTCTGTCAGAGATGATGAGATTGGCTCAGGATAGGGCAGCGTTCAGAGCTAATGAGTTGAAGGCAACTAGATGGCACATAACAACAACATGTAAATGTTCACTTAAATCATAATAAAAAGTTAAATAAATCACTACAGAAGGAAATGACCACTAAAGCCCAATTAATAAGTAAAATTTTTGTAAATAAATCAGAGTAATATAAAAAATAAAAAACAAGCAAAAAATAAGTAAAACATTTCAAATGACAGTTCACACAAAAAAGAACAGAAATAAAATCTATTATAATATGCTTAACTACACTTAATTTTTTTAAAAAAAATATATAATGTTTAAACATACACACTGTTCAGTGATTATGGGGAAAAGAGCCCTTCTTGCACACTCTGCTTATGGGAATACAATATTGTACAAAAGCTATGGAGGGAACTCTGGTAATATATAACAATATTATATATGTATTTACCCTAGTTTCACCAATCTCACTTACCTGAATAGTTCCTACAAAAATATAAGATTATTTACATAGGATATTATTCATTATAGCATTAGCTGAATCTAGAAAAAACTTGAAAACTAGCACAAATGCTCATCAACAAAGACCCTGTAAAATAGTCTGATATAAGCACACATTGGAACACTAAGTAGCTATAAAAGGAATGAAGAAGATACCACATACTGAAATTAGAAATATCTGGAGGATATACCAATTAAGTTAAACAAGCAAGAAAGAGAATAACAAAATATACAGTAAGTCACTTCTTTCTATAAGAAAGTATGAAAAGGCCTAGTGGCAAGACACTGCACTGCAATCCCAGAGGTACGTGGTTCAAATCCACCAGATGCTCTGCTGGAGAAGGAGGGGCAATCTCCTCCTGTACCAGTCAGATCTGATTTGATGGTACATATAAAAATAATACAATAAAAATTAAAAAAATTTTAAAAAAGAAAGTATGAAAAGGATATGGATAGGAATCAGGCATCTATGAATAAACATTGTTATATAGTTTTTATTTCAGATTTAAGTCAAATCTGTAAAGTTCATTAAATCAGTTGGAGAAACTGTGGGCCTATAGAGGCCTTTCTTTTTTTTTTTGGCGGAGACAAGCTGTCTTTATTGCTGGGGGGCTGGGGGGGCTGGGGCGGCTGGTGCTCAGGAGCTCTTGGTGGGGCGGGTTCGCTTCCTCTTGACCATCACAGGCTTCTTCTGGCTGCGCAGGATGGCGCTGGCCCTGCGGATGGCGGCCATGCGCAGGTCCGGCAGATACTTGTTCTTGCGGATCATGTGGCGGATGCTGCTGAGCGTGGCCCGGGCGTTCTTGTGGACGGTGGTCCGCACGTAGGAGGTGACTGGCTTCCTCTGGCCTGACCTCCGCTTCATCACCACCACGACCCCCTTGTTGTCGGGGGCCGGCTCCACGCCCACGGTGGATCAGTCCATTGTAGCGGAAGGCTTTGAGGTTATTGGGCTCCTCCTATCGCAGCGGCGGCCAGAGGCGGAAAGAGTATAGAGGCCTTTCAACAGCAGCAATCAGAGGAAAGCTCCCGAGAGAAAGTAATTTTTTAACTCGATTGTATAAGCTGAGTGAAAGTTTTCCAAGTGAAGAAAAAAAATAGTGGAGATATTTCAGGGCAATAGTTAAACATATGCAAAAAGATCTGAAAACATAACAGTGCCTGGCACAGTTGCTGTATGAGTGGAGAGTTCAGGGCAATAGTTAAACATATGCAAAAAGATCTGAAAACATAACAGTGGCTGGCACAGTTGCTGAATGAGTGGAGAGTGTAGAAGCTCTCAGGCGGATGCTCTTTCAGGACTTAAACTAAGGGTAGTGTGATAGTAAGAAGCAAACTGATGGAAAAGACACGCAGGGGCCAGATCATGAAGGGCCGAGTATATCAGGAATTTTCGTTTCATCTTCGTAAGAGGTAGAAAGTCAGTGAAGAGTTTTAAGCAAAAGATTGACACAGTCCATTTGCTATTTTGAAAGATCTCTCTTTGAAGACCATTCTATCAAGAAAAGTTTAGCGAACTAGAAAGCAGAGATACCAGTTAAAATCTTATTAATTTATGTACCATCCAGAGTACAATGAATGTCACTGATCAATTTGTTTAACTGTCAAATGAGAGGAGCCCTACTTGCTGAGTAAGTTTTCACCAAAAACACAATGGAATATTTTTTTAAAAATCCTATCCACTTCACCAAAGAAGACATTCAGATGGCCAATGAAGAAATGTTCAAAATCCCTAGCTCTAAGAGAGATGCAAATCAAGACAACTATATCATCTCACATTAGTCAGAATAGTAAAATTTAACAGAACTCCAAGCAACAAATGCTGGCAAGGGTGTGGAGAAACTGGAACCCTTATTCACAGTTAGTTGGAGTGTAAAATGGTGCAACCACTGTGGAAGGCTGTTTGGCGCTTTCTCAAAAAGTTGCAAATAGAGATACCATTTGACCCAGCAATTCCACTACTGGGAATATACCCTAGGGAGACCATAACTGACATCCAAGCAGATATACGCACACCCATGTTTATCACTTTGTTCACAATAGCAAAGAGCTGGAAACAACCCAAGTGCCCATCAACAAACGAATAGGTAGAGAAGCTGTGGTATAGTCACCCAATGGAATACTATGCTGCATTGAAAAACAAGGACCTCATGCAATATTATTCAAAATGGGTGACCCTGGAGGACATTATGCTGAGTGAAGTAATTCAATCACAAAAGGACAAATACTGCATGGTGCCACTATTGTAGAATGGGACTGACATCAGGGTTGGGGTGAGACTGAGAAAAACTGGATAAATTATGTATACTGCACTGAAACAGATGAGGGAGAGAACAATTTAAAAGTGATATATGATAGGGCATTATGGTTATCACAAGAGTACAGAATTAAGGTTGCATAGTGGAGTATACTAGGGGTGGGGGGAGGACGGGTTATGCGGGGGGCATTGTATACCAATGAAAGAATTTTTTCTTTTACTTTTCAAAGAGAGGAGTGAACTGAGGGTAGGGCTGAGCAGGGAGAAAAGTGCAACAATGAATGAATGGAAGTCCAAAATCTCTGTAAATGTTCATGAAAATTAATAAAATTTTTTTAAAAAATCCTATCAACCTATCCCAGATGAAATGATTTCCTCACAGGGCCAAAGATGATGAATCTGGAAGATATAAAGTAGACTACTAACACCAGGATTTACTAATTAACTAAACGTAGAAGTAATGAAGATATCCGTTTATAGCAGAGTAATATCTTGACATGGTCTTCTATTTTACCTTGCCCAATCCAAAAAACTACTAATCCTGCAAAGGTACTGGCCTTCGGAATTTTGCCTATTGTCTAGACAGAGAGCTACCCAGACCTTTTTAACATCTTTAAGTCATTCAAGAGGTAATGCTAGGCATTATTCCCACACTGAAGAAATTATTTTATGTCATATGGCTTAAAAAAATAGGCCATCTTATATTCTTCAATGTTCTCAAAGGGAAGAGGCAGGAGACACAAAACAACAAGAAAATATAAGTACAATGGTAAAGTGTATGAAATAAATTTAACAAAATTAAATTATGAAGCCAAGAGTACATAAAACAAGAGTAAAATCAAAGAGGCTAGTAACTTCTGTGTTTCCACAAGCACCTTCCTCAAGTCTCTTTTCCCAGGACTAAACAAAAAAGTGTGAAGTATCTGGTTCACTATTGTAGCTGATGAGTCAGAATCTAACTCATGGCAACTCCATGCCCAACAGGAACTGATCCTGTGATCCACAGACATTCACAGGCTGATGTTCTAGAAGAGATCATCAGTCCTTTCTACTCTCTCTTAGTCTGAAAGCTCCATCTAAATATGTTCTCACAGCCACACACAAGCCTCCACTGAAAGACAGGTAGTACCTGTGCTTGTGCAATGGCCAAGAACTGAACTCAGATTTCCCATATGGAAGACAAGAAGTCTACCACCACTGAAACACCAATGTCCCCTGGCTCATAGTAAATATTTAGTAGATATTATACTGTGCTTGTGCAATGGCCAAGAACTGAACTCAGATTTCCCATATGGAAGACAAGAAGTCTACCACCACTGAAACACCAATGTCCCCTGGCTCATAGTAAATATTTAGTAGATATTATAGGGCCTCGTCTCAGCTACACATTTTTCCAGGTAGTAGTATTCATAAATTCATTGTAAAAGACAGCCTACTTACAGGAACATGCTGAGTTGAAGAGCATGAGTCCACTGACTGAGGAGATGAGACTGAACAGCTTGATGAGGCTGGAGAAAGTGGTTGAGGTTCCACCTTAATATCTTTAAATGAAAAATACTGAGTAAAGATATTTTTCCCCACTGGCAATAAAGATTCAGAAAAAATAAAAAGGAAAACAGGGTATATCTATTCTTGAAATTCAACCAGGTAAGGAATTAAAATTAAGTTCACAAAATATATGAAAAAAATTAAAGATACAGAACAATGTATCTATAAGCTGCATTAATACTCTAGAGAATAAGCATAAAAAAATGGTACTAAGCTGAGTGACTCTAGTTTCTAGAAAGGGACAGAATTGAAGAGGGATAAGAATATAAAAAAGTATTTTCCTACCATTTAGACTTTTGTGCCTTTCAAATAGAAGCCAAAAATATAAGTTTCAAAAAGAAAAACTCACCAAAAATATATGGAAAAACAAGAAAGAATAGATGACTACTCATAATATTTGATTAATATGCACTGAAATGGTTCTACCTTTTAAATTTATTTATTCATTAAAAATGTATATAGTGAGGTGTGTGGATCGAATCCACTAGATGTTCTGCTGGAGAAGGAGGGACAATCTCCTCCTGTACCAGTTAGATCCAATTTGACGGTACAAACACACAAAATAATAATAATAAAAAGAATGGAAAAAAAGAGTTCCTATTAAAAAAAAATTAGATAGTAACTATGTGCCAGGCAATCTTAAGCCTTAAAAATTTATAGACAATTCACTTTACATAAAGACTTCAGAAATCTTGTGTGTCAAATACATAGGACCTGTCCTCCAAGTTCTCGGGTTCTAGTAACCCAGCCTTCTCCTTGTTGGCATAGTCTGTAGGCAGCTGTGTTGCTAACCCAGAAGCAGCATCTCTTCAGTAGTTCAAATCCACCCAACTCTGAGGGAGAAAGATGGCCAGTCTCCTTCCGTGTAAATTAGTGTCTGAAAACCTGCTAGAGGGTCAGCAGCAAGTTGGTTCTAACTCAACAGCAATGAGATATAGTTCTCAGACAGGTAAATCTTTTACAGAGTTATAATTTATATTTTTATAATTTAAAAATCATAAAATTTATATTTTTATAATTGAAAAATCAATATTTCTACTTCTGAAATGAATTATTTACTCATTCATTACACTACTGAAACATTATTCTTCTTGTTCTGTGTGCCATCAGGTTGGAAATGACCCACAGCTGACCCACCAGTGGGTTTCCAGAGGCAGTAAATTGCACACAGAAGGATCCTGGACATCCTTCTCTTAGAGCAACTGGTGGATTCAAAATGCATGCCTCTGAGACTGCAGCACAGCTTCTTACTACTAGAAACATAAAAATGAAATGATTTATGTTCATTCTAGTAAGACATTTCTCTGTACCATTATACCAGAAGTGGGATAACTAGTCCCTGGAATCTTTTAACCCACCAGAATAACCCAATAATCCCTCCTAATTTCAAGTATCACTCAATTACAAAATAAAATGGATCCTTTAAAGCTTTTAATCAATGAAACTCATCATTACCTCTATGAAATTTGTTGTTGAAGTCCAAAATGTCTGAGTCCCAGGGCATCAAATCCAGATCAAAATCAAGATTATCAAAATTATTTTCCTACAGGTGGTAAATCAGAAAAAAAAAATTAAAGACTAAAATATGCATCTTGAAATCAAACTACACAACATAATTTGTCATAAACAATTGCTACTACTAAACCTAGTGAAAAGAAGTTTCTAGGTCAACAGATCAGAAATTTGTCCTGTCTTAACACCATCCACATGACCTCTGCCATGCTCAATCCCATATTTAATTTGTATGCTGAGGAAATAAAACAAGAAGCTGGATTATATGAAAAACAAAAAATTATGTCACAACTGGAGGAAGATCCTTAACAATCTGCAATATTCAAATGGCAATCTTGCTTGCTAAAAGCAAAGAGAATTTCAAACACTTATTGATGAAGATCAAAGACTTCAACATAAAGAAAACAAAACAATCACAAATAGCCCAATAAACAACTTCATGATAAAAGACAGATATCAAGAACTTTATTTCACTTGAATCTATAATCAATTTCCATAGATGAAGCAGTTAAGAAATCTAACATACTGTACAAAACACAATAACATGAATGAAACACAATGTAACCGAAGTACTGTATGCAAATCAATAATTGGTAGGAATTAAGACCAAAAAATTAAAAAAGAAATATAACAACATATTGCATTAGACAAATCTAATAAAACAAATCTGCTGTAATATAGTTCTTTTAAATGTTCAAAAGTAAAGATGTCACATTGAGAACTAAGGAATACCAAACCCAAGTCATGGTATTTTCTAACACTTCCTATGCATGTGAAAGCTAAAAAATGAAGAAGACTGAAGAAGAATTGATGCATTTAAATGACAGGTAGGGCATCAGGATTGGAGGAGGACTCATCAACAACCTGTGCTATACAGATGACACAACTTTGCTTCCTAAAACTGAGGAGAACATGAGACAATTGCTCCAGAAGGTCAAGGACTACAGCCTTGATTCTCACCACTAGGCCAACTGGCAACATCATGATAGACAGTGAGATTGTTAACAGCTTTAGCTTGCTTTACTTCACAATCAACACTCTTGGTACCAGCAGCCAGGAAATCAAAAGATGAATTGCATTGGGGAAATCTGCTGTCAGGGACCTCTCCAGAGTACTGAAGAGCAATGATGTCAGTCTGAAGACTAAGGTATACTTGATCCAGGTCATAGTATTCACAATTACTTAGTATGCATCAGAGAGCTGGACAAGGACTAAGGATGATAGAAGAATAATCAACGCTTTTGAGTGTGGTGCTGGAGAAGAGTATTGATTATACTATGGACTGCTAAGAGAACAAGTAGGTCCATCCTAGAGAGGGTGAAACCAGGCTGCTCCTTGAAAGCAAGGATTTTGAAGCTCCATCTAACATACTTTGGGCATGTTGCAAAGAGGGAGCAGTCCTTGGGGAGGGACATCATGCTTGGAGAGGTGGAGGGGCAGTGCAAGAGAGAAAGACCCAGGAAGAGATGGACTGACTCAGTGACTGGCGTAATGGGGGTAGGTGTGTCAGAGATGATGAAATTGGCTCAGGATAGAGCAGCGTTCAGAGCTGTTGTACATAGGGTTGTTATGAGTTAGAGTCGACTCGAAAGCACCTAACAACAACACAACATGGGCAAAGAATACTGAATATATCAATGACTGACAGAAAAACTAATAAATCTGTCTTGGAAAAATTATAGCTAGACTGCTCCTTAGAAGCGATGATGGTGAGACCTTGTCTCACTTACTTTGGATATCTTATGAAGAAGGATCAATACCTGAAAAAGGACACTATGTTGAGTAAGGGGTCAACAAATAAGAAGACCCTCACTCAACAAGCTAAATTGACTCACTGGCTGCAACAATGAATTAAAATACAGCAATAACTATAAAGATGATACAGGATCAGGCAGTGCTTTGTTCTGTTGTACATAAGACTGTTATGAACTGGAATCAACAGCCTCTAACAAAAACATGTTCACCAAACAAGAAGCTGTGCTGCAATCTCAAAGGTATGCCGTTAGAACCCACCAACTGCTCTGTGGGAGAAGGAGAGGCAATCTAGAGGTTCAGCTAGGAGACAGGTCCAACTCAAGAGCACATAACATCAACAACAGTATGAGTAAATTTAGCAGTGATGCATACCTGAGAGCAATACTGTGTTAAAGAGGCTCAACAGTGGGTTTTTGGTTTTGGTTTGGGGTTTTTTTGTGGATTTCCACTCATTCATTGTTGCACGACGCCTCAACAGTAGTTTTATGACATACTTCAATGATTCTTCTGACTCAATCCTTGTTGTTGTTATGTGCTGCCGAGTTGTCTGGGACTCACAGTGACGATATGTACAACAGCCCTAAACTCTGCTCTGTCCTGTGCCAATCGCACTGTCTCCGACACTCTCAGTCACTGAATCAATCCACCTCATAAAGGGCCTTCCCCTCCACCCTTCCAAGCAAGATATCCTTCTCCAAGGACCTGTCTCTCCTTACATGTCTGGAGCCTCAGAATCCTTGCCTCCAAGGAACCGCCTAGTTTAACCCTTTCCAGGACAAATCTGTTTGTTTTCCTAACAGTCCATGGTACTCTCAATACTCTTCTCCAGCACCACAGCTCAAAGGCATCAATTCTCCTTCTATCCTCCTTGGTCATTGTCCAACTCTCTGATGCATAACAAGTGATAGCAAAGACCATGGCCTGTATCAGATGCACCTTAGTCTCCAGAGAGACACCACTGCTCTTCAGTACTTTGGAGAGGTCCCTAACAACAGACTTTCCCATGGCAATAAACCTTTTAATTTCCTGACTACTGGTGCCAAGAGTGTTGACTGTGGAGCCAAGCTAACTAAAGCTGTGAACAATCTCAATCTCTTCACCATCCATCCTGATGCTGCCAATTGGCCCAGTGGTGAGAATCTTTGTCTTCTTGACATTGAGCCTCAATCCATATTGGAGGCTGCAGTCCTTGACCCTCCGCAGCAAGCGCTTCAGGTCCTCCTAAGTTTCAGCAAGCAGGGTTGTGTCAATCTGCATAATGCAGATTGTTGGTAGATCTTCCACCAATCTTGACCCCACATTTCTCCTCATAGAGCCCAGCCCCCCGGATAACCCTTAGCCAAAAAAAATCAAATACTTTTATAGCCATAAGAATTTCATTTGGCTGGAAATTTAACAGGCCCATTCTATGTTAATGGAAACATACTGGCACTTATAAACTCTGGCTCTTCAGAGATTATCTAATGTTTTTTTTTCTTTCTTTTTGTGTACTGTCAAAGCAGATCTGACTGGCATAGAGGGATATTGCCCCTCCTTCTCCAGTGGAGCATCTGGTGGATTTGAACTGCGTACCTTGGACATTGCAGCACTGCTTCTTGCCCCTAGGCCACCAGAGTTCCCTTGTTACCTAATTATTTTATAAAAGAAAAACCAAGAATATCTCCAAGTCCTTTTTAGTTTGAAAATTGTGTTACCATTCTTCCACAAGGAAAACAATTTCTCACGTTAAGGTACTAAAGAGCTGTTTGCCTATGGAGCTAACTTTCTGAAAAAACAACAAGAAGCAGGGTGATAAATTACTTTTTGAAAACTCTGAGGGAAAAATACACTTAGCATAATATATTCTCATATATATCAATGTAATATCTACAAATCTTACATTTACTGGCTATACAATGCAAATAGCTTTCCTATGCAGTGGTTGTAAAATGCTTTAACTTAAATGACTAATCTAAACCTACTATCCTGAAGCCTGTTAGTAATAATTAAAGTAAAAATTAAGTGTCATACAACCTCTGCTATAATATACTTACATAAGTTTCATTTGCTGCATCCAACTGTAATTCATCAGTGTCCATAAGATAATTAAGTTCAGCAAATAGTGTAGAATCTTTGGAAAAAAGGAAAGAATAGAGATCAATGATTTGATGATAGAATCAGTACTGTATCCCTATACAAGCTTTATTTGGGCCTCTCATTGGTCATTACTGTGATAAACTCTTGATAATGCTGATAACCGATTCATGGCTAATTTCTAATTTATGTACTATTTTCCACATTTTTATCTTGTGAACCAAATTCTTCCACCATGAATTAAAAGTCAGATTTCACATCATATGTCATCTTCAGAGTAATTGGTAGAAACTTTCTAGAACATTACAAATAAGAATTCTGAGGATACATTTGAACTCAGAAGTAATAAATATGGCTGTCCAGCAATGATGGCAGGAAAGGACTGTACCAACACATGTACTATGTCATTCATGCCTTAAGTCATAGGTACAAGTAATTTTCTACTTAAAAAGAAAGACATACACCATTCTCTATTCTATAACAAATTTAACCACATCCCAGTTTCCTACTGAAGTTGAACTAAAAAACAAGAAATATATGGACACAGGATATATTTTCTGGATACAATTTTTTTTTAAAAAAAAGGTTGAAGTGGTGGCTGGTCCAAAAAATTACCATAAATCTGTAGGTTCTGATTTCTCTAATGTATGTGGAATTTCTAGCACATTACCATACCACTGAAACAATGTTAGTAGTTGCACATTTCATACACATAAGAACTACTCTGTCCATTGTCAATTTGGCCAGAGACAAACACATTTCACCAACCTTGAATAAAATAGTACAAAGAAAAAAAAAAGAGAAGAAAAAAAAATAGTACAAAGAAAAAAAAATGTTACATGCATGTTTTTGAGTGTTAACTACTGTTGCTGTTGTTGTACATGTGCCATTAAGTCACTTGTGACTCATAGCAATCCTATGTACAATAGCTCTATCTTGAGCCAATTTCACTGTCTCTGACACACCTACACCCATTACCCTAGTCACTGAGTCAATCCATCTCATCCAGGGTCTTCCTCTCTTATGTCATCCCTTCACCTTTAACAAGCATGATGGCCTTCTCCAAGCACTGGTCGCTCCTGAAAACATGCCCAAAGTATGTCAGATGGAGCTTCAAAATTTTTTACTCCAAGAAGCCTAGTTTTACCCTCTCCAGAACAGATCTATTTGTTCTCTTAGTATGTTCAACACACTTCTCCAGAACCACAAATCAAAGACATCAATTCTTGTTCTATTATCCTTAGTCATTGTCCAGCTCTCTGATGTATATAAAATAATTGCAAAGACTATGACCTGGATCAGGTGCACCTTAGACTTCAGACTTACATTGTTGCTCTTCAGTACTCTGGAGATGTCCCTGACAGCAGATCTTCCCAACGCAATTCATCTTTTGATTTCCTGGCTGCTGGTCCAAGTATATTGATTGTGGAGTTAAGTAAGCTGAAGCTGTTAGCAATCCCAATCTCTCTTCCCGTCTACCATGATGTTGCCAGTTGGCCTAGTGGTAAAAATTTTAGGGGGGGTTTTTATGTTGAACTTCAATTCATATTGAAGTTTGCAGTCCTTGACCTTCTGCAGCAAATGTCTCATGTCCTCCTCAGTAAGCAAGATTGTCTAATCTGTATAACGCAGGTTGTTGATGAGTCTTTCTCTAATACTGATGCCACATTCCTCTTCATAAAGTCCAGTCTCCTGGATGATCTGTTCTGCATATAGATTGAAAAGGAATGGAGACAGGATGCATCCCTGGCATACATCTTTCCTGATTTTTAAATATGAAGTGTTTCCTTGCTCTGTTCTGACAATAGCCTCCTGGTCCAATTAGAGGTTTCGCATAAGCACAATCAAGTGTTCTGAGATTCTTGTTCTTCTCAAGGGTAGTCACAATTTGTTGTGCTCCAAAGAGTCAAATGCCTTTTCATAGTCAATGAAACACATACATTCCTCTGGTAGTCTCTGCTTTCAGCTAAGATCCATCTAACATTTGCTATAATGTCCCTAGTGCCACGGCCTTTTCTAAAGTCAGCCTGCAGTCAGTACATGGGATATTGACGATACTATTCGAAAATTTCCATATTCTGTTGGATTACCTTTTTTGTGAATGGGAATAAATACAATTCTCTTCCAGGTAGATGGCAAGGTTCCTGTCCTACAGATTTCTTGGCACAACCTAGTGAGCAGATCCAGGGCACTGTCTGTTTGCTGAATTTTGTCAACTGTTATGCTGTGAAATCTGGGGCCTTGGTTTTTTGCCAATTCCTTCAGAACAGCTTGAACTTCCTCTTTCATCACCATTGGCTCTTGATCATATGCTGTTTCATGAAATTTTTCTGTGTCAGCCAATTCTTTTTGGTATAGTGACTCTGTGTACTCCTTCCACCTTCTTTTGATGCTTCCTGGGTCATTCAACATTCTGCCTATAGCAACGTTAAGTATTGCAACTTAAGGCTTGAATTTGTTCTTCACTTCCTTCAGCTTAAGAAATGCTGAGCAAGTTCATCCCTTTTGCTTTTCCAATTTCTACATTTTGCACATTTCATTAAAATGCTTTGTCTTCCCATGCTGCCCTTTGAAATCTGCTATTCAGCTCCTTAACATCTTGATTTGTTCCCTTTGTTTTGTCTTCTCAGAGCTATAGTACAATATTCAGAGTCTCTTCTGATATCCACCTAGGTCTTTTCTTCTTCCTCCAACTTTGTAATGACCTTCTGCATTCTTCATGGACAATGTTCTTGATATCCTCCTATACCTCATCTAGTCATTAGTATTCAAGGCCTCAAATCTGTTCCTAAAACGGTCTTTAAATTCAGGAGGGATAGACTCAAGGTCAAACTTTAATTCTTGTGGGTTTTATTTTCTTTAGCTTCAGTTTGAAATTGAATATGAGTAGTTGATGATCTGACCACAATCAGCACCTGACCTAGTTTTCACAAATGATAATAAGCTTCTTCAGTGATTTCCCTCCCACCCTCAGATAGAACCAATCTAATTCCTGTTTAGGCCATCAGGTGAGGTCCTCACTGTTTGTGTTTCTTATAAAAGGTGTTTGTAATGAATAAATCATGTTGTTGTTGTTGTTATGTGCCGTCGAGTCGCTTGCGACTCATAGCGACCCTATGTACAACAGCCCTAAACTCCGCTCTGTCCTGTGCCAATCGCACTGTCTCTGACACTCCCATCCCAATTATCCCAGCCACTGAATCAATCCACCTCATAGAGGGCCTTCCTCTCCTGCGCTGTCCCTCCACCCTCCCAAGCGTGATGTCCCTCTCTAAGGACCGGTCATAAGAAATGAAAAAGGTGAGGAAAAACGAGGTCACTTTCATAGTTAAAAAGACCATTTCTAGATCCATCTTGAAATAAAATGTTGTGACAGGATCACATCCATATGCATAAAAGGAAGACCTGTTAATACCACTATCATTCAAATATATGCACCAACAACCAGAGTCAAACAGGAGTAAACAGATGATTTCTACCAATGGTTGCAATCAGAAATTGATCAAATATGCAACCAAGATGCACTAGTAATAATGGGTGACTGGACTACAGAAGTTGAGAACAGGGAAGAAGGATCAGTAGTTGGGAAACAGGAACTTGGAAACAGAAATGATGCTGGAGACTGTTGTTAGGTGCTACTGAATACAACGTATAGCTCCTCATACCAATAAGGATTGGAACTCTGACCTATGCTGAACCATTCTCACAGTCTCCACTGTGGTCAAGCCCATTGTTAAGAGATGCAAATCAAAACAGTAAGATACCATCTCAACCCAGTAACAACTCCAAAGTCCAATGAAACAGAAAACAACAAAAAGTGTAGAGAGACTAGAAAGTTTATAAACTATGGTGGAACTGTAATGTGATGAAAACACTATGGAAAAACAGCATGGCAGCTCCTTAGAAATACCATTTGAGCAATCTCACTACTAGGCATATATCCTAAAGAAAGGAGAGGTAGAACATGAATAGATATATGCACACCCATGTTCAATGCAGCATTATTCACAATAGCAAAGATATGAAAACAACCTAAGTGTCCATCAACAGATTAATGGATAAAAAACTATGGTACAAACACAAATGTTAAAAACAATGAAAAATCCTGGAAATATGAAGTGGATGAATCTGGAGGATATTATGCCAAGTGAAATAAGCCAAAAGGACAAATATTGTATGAGTACACTACTATAAACAGCTAAGGAAAGATTTACACACAGAAACATCCTTTCATCAAGAGACACATATCCAATTGGGCAAATGGAAAGGCAATATACCAAAAAGGCATAATGAACACAATATTATTAAGGTAAAGAAAGACACAGAGTGGTGCACAAAAATTAGGTGACAGAGGTAAATATTACTGCATACAAAAACTGACATTATAAGTAATAACACACCAGTTTATTAATATATCTACACAGGCTGGCAGGCCAGATAAACAGATAGAGGTAAATGAGACTATATTCACAATTATATAGGTTAAGTAGATGAGATGTCTACATATGTATCTGTACATAGTATAAAGAGGCTATGTATACTAGTAGAATAAGCAGGGTAGAAAATTATTAAAATTTTTGAACCATAACTAAATACCTTTAGTGAATGAGTCACTGGGCCTAGGAGGTCAGAGTCATAGTCTTGGGGAGCCATCAGAGCCAAATGTAAAAAACAGACTAGAAAGACAGTGTTCTACATCCGACTTTGTTGAGTACCAACAGGGGCCTTAAAAACTTGTGAGTAGTTATCTGATGTGCAACTACTGATATCTCCCTGTCCACAGCAAAAAGAGTGAAGAAAATCAAAGACACATGGCCCTAAAGGTCCAAATAACTAAAGAACCATACAAACCTCTGTTTCCATTACCTCGACAGCTGTCACTACTCAACAGTAGGATGGAGAACATCTATTGTATTCTTCAAATCCAGAACAAAGAGTAAAGAAAATCAAAGACTATTGATCCAAAGGACTAATGGACCAGTGACTTTCTTTTTCCATGACCCTGAGACAGAATTAAATGGTGACTGGCTACCACTA